TCGCACCAGACAACAGCGCGCAGCTACGGGCTTGCGAAGGTTTGACGTGTTTGTCGGCCACTACGTGCTGCCGAGGGCATGGAGAACAACAAGAGACAAATGGCGGGACGACGGCGCGCGCGAAGCGTGTCGCCGCGCTCTATGGTCTCCGCTCCGTATGCCGCAGCACGCCGCCTCACAGCCACGCCATCCGCGTCTCCGGGGCTCCTGCAGGAGCGACGGTCGCTTCCCGCAGTGCGGCCTTGGATTCAACATGGCCGCCCTGGGAGCGCCAGTGAGCTATTTTGCTCCGTAACCGCAGCATATACAGTTACCCTAGGTCACTCTATCGATCCACAGCCAACGGGACGAACGGCGATCTGCAATGGCAATCGCAATGCTTCCTCGGTTCTGAGGCAGTCTGGTTCGTGAAGAAAGGATGTCATTCCCGGTTCAACGTCTTTTGAGTGCCTACCTAAAGCAGCGAGGATAATTGTGAATAAGTGCGACACTAACACATGTAGACGATACAAGATAGCTCATTATGTTATGCCTCAGCCGGTGGAATAATAACACGAGAGCTTTCGACTGTACTAAACTCCACAAGTTTATAACTTGCTGAAAATTCATATTGCCGTGTTTATAATGCGGAAAAAATACAATCAAAAATTTGCTCTCCTTCTTTTGACCTGTGTTAGTGCGACCAATTACTCGCTTAATTCATCGATCAAAGGGGGCCGATAAATCGGGTTGAAATGTTTTATCGGTGCCCAGCCCCGTTGTGCATGGTGAGATTACGTGGGGAGCTACGGTTTGTCATTAGAGAGCCATCGGCGCGCGTGGATGACTGCCTTCTTCCGCAGTCTCCCGGCAGCCAAATTTAATCTATGTTTCCTATCATAGGGGAAACGCAGGCCCTGTTTCTTGAACGCACGGGCTCTTGCACTCACATTATGCCTTCCACCGTGCTTTGTCTTGAGCCGCACGAAACTCTGAAGCATTGTCAATAGCGGAAACCTCGTGCTGGAGGAGGGACAACTGAAGCTCCGCCGTTCTCACTTTGCCAGTGACTATTGCTGCTTGCACTCTCGTTGTCTTCCCCTCCTTGGCAGCGGGTAAATGCATCGGGCTGCGCGTCGCAAGATCAGGGGTTTTAGCCCTACTGAGCCGGTTGCTATATTTCGCAAATTACAATTAATGGGTAACTGCAAATAAAAAAAAGTGTATTTTAAAAAAAGCCTAATTGGCACAAGCATGTCACAAAACAATTTTTCCGCCAACAACAAAATTTTTTACAGCAATATTTATTGCGCGAGACCGATTTTAGTTTGCGGCTATTTCGTCCGTTTTAAATCGCGCGCCGCTAAGTTGGTATTATACGTCACGGAGTGATGTATAGCAGCCACTCCTCGCGCGTCGAAAGAGCGGGAGTTTCAGATGTGGAGAGGTTCTGAGCCCGACTAAATTACGTCCTGTGGCGTAAATTTTGCTAGAAAAAATTTGTTTTCTCGCGGAAGATTTCTTTTGTTACATGCTTGTCCCAATTAGGCTGTTTAAAAAAAAAAACACTTCTTTTTCTTTGCAGTTACCCTTTAAGTACAATTAATTGTACAATTGATAGTACTTAATGTTAACCAGGAGCGATGAATAAATTTAGTTGTGTCTTCCGCGAGATTTGGATGTTTTTTTATTGCCTGCTATGGATATATGTATAGGGTATCTGAAATGCCGAGCTCGGACTAAAATGGGCCGCAAAAAACAGCGCCTGCATGTAGCAATCTAAAATTTTTGTCAAAGGTGTATTTCCGAGGTGGGTTTTACCTTGTATAATTACGAAGCGTAGCTCCCTTTTTGGGCATAATAGGAGCAAAAAATTTGCCAAGTTTGACAGAGTACAGTGGCTGGGCGCGTTTTGCGCGCATCTTACTAGACGGTTCTACCTCAGGAGCAGCGTCGGAAGATGTAGCCGCCATTGCGAGAACGCAAACGACACGCAGATGAAAACCGTCGGGAGCAAGAGGGCCGTCGATATGCAACCACGTTTTCTCTTATTTTTGTTTCTTCAAGCTCTCCCATCATTGTCTGAAGTTGTCTTTAAACAAAAAGTACATTTTAAAAAAATATCATGCTAATTTTTATAGACCACGGTCCTCGCGGCCAATCTCGATATGTCTAAAAGGTAGCGCCATCTATCAATAAGTGCGCCAAACGCGCCAGACAACTCGACTCGGTCGTCTACGTCGCCATCCGCTGTTGATCTTGGCAAGTTTTTGTTCCTATTTTTTTACACAAATAGAGCCACACTTTGCAATTTCACAAGGTAAAAGACACGCGTGAAATATACCTTTGACGAAAGGTTTAGAATATTACGTGCCTGCGCCGCTTTTTTGCGGCCCCTTTTAGATTGAGCCTCGGCATTTCAGAAGCCCTATATATGCTTTATCTTGCTTTGACCAGCGTGCAACAGATTTTCGTGAAACTCAACCACAACACCTCTTGCGTGAACTCGAACGCCAAAGACCATATCATGCGCTAAAACCTGCGTCGCTACTTCTTTTTTTTTCTTTTTTTCTTGCGTGTTTCACTATAAAAATTTGTTTTTTTTTCAAACTTTTTGTTTTAGGTTTATCGCACTATTTGAGCTAGATTCACACAAATCAATGACGAGTAGGATATATGAACATTGGTTAAGTTAGGAAAGTATTCCACGTATCTTGTGTGGGAACTGCGAAGCGTGTAAACCTAGTGGAGCTGTCTATCAAGCCTTCGCGTATTATCAAAGTACCCAAGCCGGGGGGGGGGGGGGGGGGGGAAGTTCCAATAATATGTTTTTCAATATTTGCAAATCGCGCTACTTTGATTGATCAGGCGGGAGCCACATCCGACTGCATATTTTGCGCTATTCTTTCTCCACGGTTTTAGAATCGGTGTGTCTTGCATCTTGGGCCGGTGGCAATAAACGTATGGTTTCTATATAGAAGCGGAAATAAAGAAAGTTTAATAATAGTACTGCCTATAGCAGAGTAAATCAATGATGAGTTCCACCCAAATTTACAGTGTTAAAGGCCGACAAAAAATTTATTATATTTTATACGACCCCGAAGTTATTCAAAATGCCGCGTTAGAAAAATATAATATGTACAAGAGTTCATTAACACACTACACAAACATGCTGGGTGCTACAGTTTGCGAGGCTAATGTTTTGGGCAAACACCATAGCCCCTTCGTTTGGTTCGGGATTCAATACTTTTGTTTTGTTGTCCTCCTGAAATTTTACAGACCAACAAAAACGCATGTTCTTGTTTGACCTCGCTATGGGCTTTTGATTGCGACGCTGGCATATGCCATGTTAAAAGTTATTTTAGACAAAATGTTTGGCGCAAAATATACCGAATATAATAATGCATAAAGATTAATTATTACTTCGGAGGACAACATATTATTGTAAGGTAGGCGACGAAGACGACGAGGAGATGGTCATGCTCGACACCGCCCTGTCGTCGTCTTCATCTTTATCTTTCTAACGTTATATATTTACTATAAATATTGATTTAGCCGGTCTTAAGAACCCGTACATTAATGAAGAGCCAACAAGGGACGAATATAAAAGCAGAAGGACGCCAAACTTCAGTGTGCAGGCTGTCGACCCCCTGAAGACTCCGATACTGTGCGCTTGCTCTCGTTTGTGTTGATGTAATTTATGTGCCATGCACATATTAATTTTTTTTTTATTTTCTTGCATAAGCAATGATTTTGAATATTCGATTCATCAAAGAACCTTGCCAAAAGGTTTTTTGGGGCTAGTTGGTACATGAGCATATTGGGGTAAATCAGCACGACGGGGCATGGACGAAAATGAGGCAGTACACAGTGCAGTTCAGTGCTGTCTCGTCTTTAGTTTGTCCGTGTACCGTTGCGCTCGTTTACCCCGGAAGGATAAAACAAGTTCGATCAATTTTAGTTTTTCTAAATGTTAATCTGATTACGAGAGATGTATTCATTCCCTATTAAAGTTGCCATGAAATTGTAGTTGTACCCTCGATAGGTGCGTTTAGCTGCGCGAACAGAGCCTTATCCGGCCACATGATGCGCAAACTCACACATAAATTTGTTCGAAGAACTAGACCAGAGAACTCATACGGAGGTGAGTTTTGTTTAAAGGAATTTTCTCTGACAAAGTCATGTTTCTTAGACACAAAACTCGAGTACCACTTGGATGCTTTTCAAAGAGATTGTACTATTTTTGGGCGACCGTGCGAGTTTCGGGAGGTTTGGCGTTTTTAAGTAACAACGAGAGGCAGCTTAGTTGACTCGGAATTTCGTTAGATGGGCACTCGAATTAAATAAAATAATAGCTTTTTACCTTCTTCGCGACTATTTACTGGTAGAAGTAATGTACATTTTACTCAATGTCGAATATACTATACACTATCACGTGGCAGACAAAATACTAGTCAAAAATAATTTATTTCTTTTGCGAGGTGTTTATGGTCACATATCATTGTCCTAAGCGTGGTTCAGACGTTCTCGAAATAGGTTTTTAATCTTTCGAAGATAAATAATAATGATGCCAGTTTCTCTCAAAATGTAGCTCAATGATTCTGTGGTGTTTTATTTCCCGGTTCGAGTTAGTTGACAAGGTGCTTTGAAGAGGTTTTTAGTGACATAAAGCGCAAAACCCGCAAACTAATTTTAAAAAGTGGCGATCAAAGTCTTTACTACTTTGATATAGCACTGAGTGTTTAAAACGCATATAGAGAACGCAAAAGAAAAACAACTCCAGATTGCTTTGGTAAACTGTTTCTTAAAATGCTGTAAATTTTCATTTCTTTTGCTTCAAACTTATGGACATAGATAAGTCGCAAAGTACAAGCAAACTACGATACTTTCGCAAGCAGCTCTTTTAGTAAACTAAATTATTTCGGCATGTAGAGGACGTACGCGAATACTACTATGAATAAGCGGAACAATTTAAAACCTCGTCACAATGTATGCACAACAAAAACACAGAAAGGCATATACATGTAATGATCTCCGCTTCATTTATTAGATAACAGTAATTGGGCATCAAAATATTACTGAAGTCGTGTGGCTTCATTTGCAGTATTCTGTTTTCTTCCCTTGGCAATGTAAATTGATCCGATCAAGTCCATATCTTTGGCAAAGCTCAGCAACATGTGCTGGTATGTTGTTTCCTCGTCAAGAGAATACATTCCGAAGGTCTTTTTTACCTTCCCAATTTCTTCTTCAAATTCAGCATTGACTTCTCTAATAAAAGCTTCCTTTCCTGTCTTGACGAACGCTTTGCAGGCTTCCTTGAAGGCTTTCTTGACGGCCCGAAAGAAACGCTTTATTTTTGAAACCTGAAACACAAATAAAAGTAAATTCGATATGCATTTTGTATAACCCTGGATAATTTGACCACGCTCTCTATGAATACATTTTGAAAAAAAAAAATGCAAGCCTCTTTGTTTTTTTATTTTTTTGTTGTTGGTAATGTGATTATTGTTTTCAATATAGAGTAAAAGATTAGATAGTATACAAGCTTCAGCTTATAAATATCAGTATTTGAAGGCCCTTTACAATAAGGTGCGAGTTAACAACTTTATGGGAAAAACTAGGTCTAAATAATAGAAACAAATATTGAAAGCACTTTATTAGTAGTAAATTTTACTACTGTACTTATCCTATCTTCAACAATAATGATTCAAATAGAAATGTTCGGGTCTGCGTCGCAAAGCAGCTTGGCCAAACATGCCTGTGGTAAAACTGAAGAAGTCAAGTTTCCAGGAACCAGTGCAAAAGTAAAAAAACACGACAGTAAGACACCATGAGCGCCTAAAATTAATATTATTCCAAACCTCTGCATAAGATCTCTTTTCGTGCTTTTGTTTTCATGAGTTGACAAGCACCAGCTTTCTCCCTAATTAAATTTAAATTTTCCCTATCATAGCTGTTGACCAATACTCTAAAAAGGTCACCTACATTTTGACGTGATTTTAAAAGCTTTATAGTTTATCTTCAACGTTTTTTTCGGTTATCTTCAACACTGAGGAAATATCCTACCTTTTTTGGGGATGTCTCGGTATGATTTGCAATGGCTTTCACTTGGCGGCCAATTTCTTGAAACATTTCGCCCTTCTGAATATTTGCGTCGCTTATACCCCCCTTGTCAGAGGCCGCAGTTGTCACAACTTCCTCCCAGTTTTCCGTAGTTGCATCGCTCACGCTATCCCCGTAAGAAGCCTCAGTTGTCAAATCATTATCCTCGTGTGCTGTGGTTACGTCGCTCACGCTATCCGTGTCAGAGGCATCAGTTGTCACAGATTCATCAGGCTCTGCAGAAACGTTTATAAAATAAACTGTAAACGCATTTTTAATAAAAAGCCGTCAGTTTCCCGAATCACGAAGAATTCTTTTATTCCTTACCTTGCTCAATCTTTCGATCGACTCTGTAAAAAGAACAAGCAGTTAGTAATATAAAAACAGCTTCATTCAGCTCTACTATAAAATTTTGACTCACGTGGATTTGGCAGCTGTAAAGAAGAGGGAAAAGATTGTGTTAGTTGTGTTTAGAAATAAGATTTGTAGGAGTTTTGTTCGCGTACTGCTAAACACCTCCTAACAAGTATCGCTTTTTTGATATTTTTCCTTTGGCAACATTTCGCCGGAGCTTAATTACAATGTTTTAGCGATATAAGGAACTGGTACTCACATGCCGATATGACAAGACAAGAAATAGCCAGCAGAACCGCATTCATTGTCCTGAAATCGCAGGTCAATGTTCAGGCACAGAGAGTTTACAGCAACTCTTTGTTAAGTCAACTCAATTGCTTCCGACAAATACATGGATATGAAGGAGTGTGCACACGCAAAACAGCTAAAGGGTGGAAAAAACTGTATTTCATATTATGAGTGAGCATAAATAAATAAAACACAAAGTAGTTGAACAAGTAGACTACAGAAAGTATATTCAAAAGTGTGTTAATTCTTTGTTTATTTGCATGTTTAGCGCATATAAAAGAAATTTGAATATACTTTCATTAGTGTTTTTGTTCACCTACGTTGCGCTTTACTTTTGTTTTACCCACTCCTATTATGAATTACTCGTTTCTACCATCGACTGCAGCGTTTTTGCACCCTCCTTCGTACCCATATATATATATATATATATATATATATATATATATATATATATATATATATATATATATATATATATATATATATATATATTTATTTATCTATTTAAAGTATGACATGTTTTCCGCAACCTTTAACCATAAAACGGCTAATGCAATCAAGAGAGTAAAACTTGCTAACCTTGCAATTATGGTATTATACAATAACGTAAGAATACTTTTTTCACCCTTAGTGCCATATTCTTTCTTGAACGAGGGTTCGGAGGTGGTCGGTGGTTCAATCTTACACTAGGCGCTGATCACCAGTAAAATAACAGCTTTAGCGCACAATCAAATCATAACTTTAACTTTAAAAATGTATTATCTATTTTCGGCAGTACGAATAATGTATAAAATATATTGCGACATTTACATAAATACAGTCATCAACGACTTACACTTTCTTGAGATGCGATTCGCGGAGGATCTTCACAGCAGCGTCTTCTGATGTGCTGTCTGATACTCTGTAGCTTAATATATAGCAAGAGAGGTAAGCGATAAAGTGAGAGAAATGCTGATCTGTTTTCAACCTATCATCAATGCAACTTGCGCAAAAGATACAAGAAGTGTCAATGGCCTAATTTTATCGTAAGTGGTGTAGTTGCCCCCTTTTGTCGACCATCTCCATCAGCATAAATTTGGCGACATAAAAAATAAAGTCTTCAGAAGGTTCGTGAAATGCTTTGGTATATCTTCTTTCGCACAGAAAGGGTGAAGGCCCGTTCACACTCTTGCAGCGAAGTACGACCGAGACAGACGAAACTCGTTGAACCCTCTTAATATTTCTTAGGACGAGAGAACACACTGGCACTTTGGTGCCATCCATGAGGTGACCCTGGAACTGCATTTCGCAAGAGCGAAGGTTTTGCGGGATTTACGAGCTCAAATATGCGTAATACCTAAAATGAAGTCTCGCTTACAACGTTGACAAAAGTTTTTCGAGCCAAGAGGCTCACCAACCACAACGAGACGGCCAACTCTGTGGCGCGTGGACTCGCCGGCCGCGCCCCGGTAACGGCCGCCGCCGACGTGGTGGATCGCCCCGAGAAGGACACCATGGACGCTTACAACGAGGTAACCCTGTGGTACCGGTTAGCCAGAAGAACGATGGCCCTGCCCCACCCCCGTCTGCCGCGGGAGGAGGCGGTGGTATTCCGCCAGTTACAGACTAACTCCGTGATAACCCCAGTGTTAGCAAAGCACCTGTGGCCGGAGGTATACGTAACAGACTTATGCAGACTGTGCGGGAAGGAAAGGGCCACGTTGGCCCACATCCTGGAAGACTGCGAATGCGCGAACGCGGACAACAGTGCAGACGTTCTCCCGCCCCTCATGGAGGAAGCGAAGAGATCCGAAGACTACGACGTCCAACACACGGCCGTCCAGCAGATCCTAGCGGCACTCGAGAAGCAGCGACCGGACGGGATGGAAGCAGAAAGGGTCAACCCGAGTACGCTGAAGCCCGCCGCGAGCGGCTCTCCCCGCTAAGAAGACGTCCGGCCACGTCGCCCCAAGAACCCACCTGAGAGGGTGGGATGGTAGGGGTTACTGCAGGAGACCCATTAAAGTTGCTCTCTCTCTCTCTCTCTCGAGCCAAGAAAGAAAGGATAATGTGCGAAAAAAAAAAAGAAAATGTGCCGGACCGCCAAGTTTACAATGCTACCCAATAGATGGCGCCACTGTGTCCTGTCGCTGTAAGATATATTAAGATGTTCCAAGGCACCCGATTTTAAGAAGTCGCAAGAGTGTGAACGGGCCTTTAGAGAAAGAAGCTCGTTATCTAGAGTTTGTATATTCTTTTCCTCAAGACCTCAACAAATGACGATTTTTTGATTATATCGGCAGGATGTGTAGTTTTGTTTTCCAGATGCTATCCGGTGCATGGAAGCTCCTTTATTGATATAAAACGTAAAGCGCCGTTCACACATATGCAACCGAGTAAGACCGAGAGAAACCAGACCGGTTTTTAAGCCTCCTGCGATATCTTAGGACCAAATGCGCTGCAGAGGAGTTGGTCCTAAGACGTCGTAAGAGGCTTAAAACCGATCTGGTCTCTCTCGGTCTTACTCGGTTGCATATGTGTGAACGGCGCTTAACTCTGGAATACTGGAAAAAAAATGGAACTAAGCGTAATTTTTTTCGGAGATATATATATATATATATATATATATATATATATATACAACAAAGTAGATACATTAGATTTAGTACTTTGTCAACTCACATCGAAACAGATGCTCATATTACTATAAAATAGCGTTAATATGGGCCATATTAATTCGAATACAATGGTATGTACACATTCCTTTCCAGGACAACCTAGGAAAATACAGAAATTTTGTCTGGTTAATATGGACAACTCATATTAAAGAAGATTTTTGGATAGCGCAGGTATCCTTATTAACGAAGAATGACTAAAAATTATATCTTATTCATTCACGTTGTAGAAATGGTGCAAATTGTATACATATACGAGGTGTGATAAAAAAGTTCCTGGACTGATAATATGTTGTAGCGTATAATGAGATGGAAATACAGAGATACGCGCGCAGCAGTCAAAGGAAGGGAACTTCGTGTCTCGTTATACCAAAGAACGTCGCTTTGTTAACATTTAGAGTTGCACTGCACGACTTTGCTTGGTCACATAAACGAGAATAATGGCAATCTCTCGGTAAACTGCAGTGCAAAGCCAGAGCAAACATGAAGTTTACCCAAAACCCCGCAAATCCAAAAACAGAAACCTCTGAAATGATAATGAATGCTTATGTAAAAAAACAGCGAAGTTCGCGAGGTGTTTTGAGAGGCGCTCGCGCCTTATGAATACCAGAACGTCACTGAAGTCAATAAGGGGTCGCATAAGGTCGACCTACCGTTTTTGATCTTCCAGCGATGCTCTGCCATCCCTGAAGCGCGAGTGCCACTTAAAACACTTCGAAAATTCACTTCTTTTCGGCACAAGCCAGTTGAATCGCTTCAAAGGTCCCTGTTTTATATTTACCAAGTTCGACGCAGAATTGATGCTCGCTCTCGCTCTAATTTGCACTTTATGGTAAAATCGGCATTGTGCCCGTGCACGTGGTCACGCATACTCGGGTAGCGTAGCTCGGCAGAGCGACGCCCTTTGGTATACCGAAACACGAAGTTCCCTTCCTTCGACTGCTTTCCGCGTATCACTGTGCTGCTCTCTCTTTTTGGACTTCAAAATCGGTCCTGAAACTTTTCGATCACACCTCGTATGTACATTACACATAAAATATACTTCGAACCGTAACCCAAGAGCATAGATTTTTTTTTTCTCATTGAGGGCCCTGCACGGGTTTCTTCTCCACTTCTGCATAGTTAAGCAAGCAGCGAGAGGCATGCATCATATATTAAACTATATAGAGAGTCCAAGGATGGACCTGCAGCCCATTTTTGCGAATTTAATTAGTAAACAAAAATGTACAAATGAATGCCGCATGTCTGTGCCCTCAGACCAGAATCCAACAATTTAAATATTTGTTTTGCTACATTTTTAACAAATAAATCGCATTTATATTTTTATATGGAGCTCCAGGAGCTTCTTGTAGAAGAGGATAGCACCCGGAGCATTGTTATATATCTAAATAAGGTAATATTGTGGGAATATTTAACTTTTCTATTCTGGGAGAACTATGGCTTGTACGTTCAGCGAAGGTGTTTTTTGTTATTTTTATGATAGTTCTATTTCCAAGCATATGACTTTAAAAGTTCATTTATTCCCTAAACGTGACTTCATTACTAATCTGCGGCGCACCATCCGCGCCTGCTCAAGATATTATTGCCTGAAGTTTTAGAGCGCAGCTCTTAAGGGCCCGTTGCCGGCTTGAGCGGCGTCGGCGTCGGCGTCGCCGTCGCTGTTGGCGTAACCGCGAGGTTACATCACCCTCCCCCTTCCGAGGTCACGAGACCCCCCCCCCCCAAGGTCACCTGACCCCTTCCCCCCGAGGTCAGGTGACCCCCCCCCCCCCCCGGAGGAGATCAAAGAATGAGGAGAGGAGAAGGAGAAGGAGGAGGAGGAGGGATATACCCTCCCCTCAGTACCCTTCCCCCCTCCTCCTCAAGAGCTGCGCTCTAATTTGGCGTTACAGGGAGTTGTAAACGGCTTTGACTTTTCTTATTCATTTATTTAGGGATACGAGCATTTCTTAGGAAAAACACCGCTTAGCAAAAAGAGGCCTTACTTCAAACGAAGTTGAAATATATTTAGTACGAATATTCATTTTGTATTTATTCTGTATTATTTTGGCCGCATTCGAAATACGCGCGTAATGTATTCAAAATACATTATAAATATGAATCAAAAAATATTTTAGATATACCAAAAATATTATTCCTTCACACTCAAGATGCCATTTGTAGATTAAAAACCGGTTACACAATTTTTTTTTTATTTTCGATTTTGTCAGCAAATGGTGTCTCTGTGGTATTTGAAGGCACTACTAAATACATCTCACAAAGCCACATTAGAAACGAACACAAACACAAACACCATGACGCACTGAAGAGCTCATTCACAGTCCCGTTGACTGCTCTAGAGCCTTATATAGCCTACATATTGA